AATAATGGACGGAATAAGTTAAAAAAAAAGAAAGACAACAACACTATATGCAGAGGTTAGAAAAAATTAAGATAACTGTACATTTTGTATACATGGACATCACCAACGAAGAAAAACATGGCCAGGGTTTCCCTTATTGGTGGGTAACCCATTGTGATAAAAGGATGTAAAAAAAAAAACATTATTGGCAGTGCTAAAATAATATTGAAACTATTACTGAATACATCACTGTCAAAAAAAAATGACCAGGGTTTTCCTATGGGTGGCTAACCCATAGATGTACCAAAAGGAAAAAAACACATGCATAGGTTACAAAAGTAGGAATGAGATCATTGTAGAAATCTCCATGACAAAAAAAACGCCAGGGTTTCTCCTGTCATACCTATCCTTAGCCCATTGATATACACAAAAGCAAAACCACTGCAGGCAAGATGAACAAATAGAATGATTAAACATTAAATAAGGTTCCCCCTTTGGTGGTGGAGCCATTGTTCAGAATTAAAGACGAGCATTAATAGCGTTCTAACTAAGCAAAAACCTAAATAACAAACAAGACAATTAAACAGCCGCTGCAGGAGTCTATCTAGTCCCACCCTGTCTTAGTGAGAATTATCATTGATATACAATTCTATTTTAGCAATGAAACAAATGTTCATTCTGAAAAATGAATCAGCTTTATTTGCAAAAAGAATGTGCAGAAATACTAACACGATTTATAACCATATCGACCCCCACACGAAAACATTGGATTGTTTGAGCAATGAAATTAAATAAATAGAACAGCAACAAAAAGACATATCATTTCTCATATAGGCCTAATTTAATAAAAATTACTTCGTATGTAAATATTTCAAGGCTGGCTGGCAACTACATTTCCTTTTTTTTTTCAATTTCCCCTATTTTCCCCCATGTTTGGAAAATAACACTCACCCAAATGGTTGTCACTCCAGTGTTATGTAGGCCCTAACAACTCAACTCAATCTAGGACTACTACTAAACAAACGTATAGCATTGATAAAAATAATGAAAACTAGGCTTATTAGAGTTTAATGAAGATTAATTGAGATTGCAAAAGTAAGTTTGGAATGATAAAAACTGAAAATGAAAAAGGTGTCCTAAACTACACAATCACACTGCAGATTTGACAAGTTAGGCCTAAACTAAAGGAAGTAACTAAAGTAGGCCTAGCCCTATGGGCCTTAATTAATTCATGACAATAATTTCTTACCATATTTGCTGTAAGGTGTGGTCTTCACTCTTTGGAGAAAGTTTTTCTTGTCACTTAAGTTTGATATTCACAAGACGATACAAAGTACGACTATCGGATACGAACTCTGCGCGCACCGCGTGAACACGATAACCACACCGATTGTCGCTGCGGAAACCCCGACCAGAAATGACAGATTCACGGTCAGCTCGCACGTGTAACGTGGAGCAATTTTTATTCATCTGTAGTGTTCTTTCAACACAGTTTTCCTACAAAAGACATTTTCTTGAAGATTTATAATGATTTAATAAGGCATGGTTCAAAGTGACATAATACAGGATCAACTTAATACTTAATACATCTCAAAACAGAGTCAAATTTCTTGGTCGTCTGTTGTAGAACTGCTTCTGCTACACTGCCATTTTCAAATTAACCTCCTTCCCATTCATTTGTCCCCACTGCGCTACTCGGTAGGGGAAGAGACACGTACGGCGCGCTCTTCGCGCTGACTATAGCAACGAGGTTGGCCGCATGCATTCACAGAGTCTGGTACCCAAAATAACGCGTTGTTAAACTAGCCTTTGTGAGAGGGGTACCGGACCATTTTATTCCTTATCGTTTACGTTGGATTTTCACTACGATTTTGTTCTGAAAAAGCACTTTCGCCGGGTTATTTTTTCTTCCACCGTCCCGATTCTTAATAAGAACAAATACACGAATCGTATACAAACAAGAAATGAAGGGGAGGAGATGGTGAAGGGTCAAACTTTTTTAAAGCGATTTTGGCATTCTGGATCCCGGACTATTAACAACGGTAACGGATTTTTTTTTTTAATTCTGTAGACTTTAAAATCAAATGGAAAAGGAGATTTTTGCAAACTCTCATCCAAACAGATTTGCTAAGTTACTGAGATAATAATAAATGTATATGATCCTTTTGAAGTTACAAAGCATCAAGGAACTTTAACAGCATTTAAAAAATTGTTTTAGAGCGATTTTAAGAGAATAATGTTTTGCTCTTTTGATATGATTGCTTGAATCAAACTAGAGTGGCAGTACAAATTGGTTGTTATACAAAATTCGAAAACAAACATGGAAGATGCGCTGATTTTGGCGGACATTTGGTAAATAAATTGTTAATACTGTAGCCATACTTGGAAATGCAGCATCACCTTCCAATTTGTTTTCTGAGTGCTCTTCAGTTCATGTTTTGGTGGAACTACCGACGATCAATCCCTTGGGAGTAGGCCAAGCCTGGAGATGGAAATTGAGTATAGGCCTCTGAATGATTTTAAAAATGTAACTCAATTCAAACTTGCCTTGGTAAAATTTGATCACAAAATGTTTGTTGTTGTTTTGGGGGCTACAGTTGTTTTAATGTAGATCGTTTGCGGGAATTCCCTTACCTTTCTGTCGCAGGTTTACTTCTAGGTTTGCGGGTATTTAATGATGATGATGTCCTTCTCTCATGGGAGTGGTACTGAGACGACGGTTTTCTGTATGGAAGCACAGAAAGAAACGCCTCCTTCCTACGCCTGCTGACTTTAGTCTTCCTGCTGACGAGTTTGGCGTTAGAGTGGTCGAACACGACGGCTGTTGCCTTAATGTAGGCATCCAAATCCTGAATGGTCTTTTGCGACATCTTGCCGTGTTGACGGTGAAGAAAGAAGTGAAGATTCACTCACAGAAAGAAAAATCAACCAGACGTTGTCAGAAGCCGTCCGTGTACTGGCAATATGCCCTACTGCAATGGATTGTATGTAAATCAGCTATACGCCCCATAAGTAAACATGGACTTTAACTAGCTATGCAAAATGCGCATAATTCTCGTGTCGGTAATGAACCCTTTCAAGGTAGAACAGACTATACATGACCTGGTCTTGTTTGAACTGGTTAGTACATGACGAGGCAGGACACCAGATCATTGGTTTATCTTTGGATTCTTTCCAAGCCACGGATTCGTCTCCAGCTTTGGCTTCGTCTCTGACTTGAGGATCATTCTAGGAGTGTATTTTTAATGTCAACAGCAAATGGATATTCTTCCAAGTTTGGTTTCATATTATAATTTCTCATGCTGTTGATGAAACAGAACAAGGGCCCGGATAGAGGCTGATTCCCCTAAGTCAGGGGCCTCAAACTCTCCCGAAACCAAAGCAGAACCGAAGCCGTGCACTGGAAACCCATGATTATTTGACTTTATCTAGACAGGCGCATCAGTAAACTTGTGAGTGCCGTAAACACTTCAGAATTGGACTTTTGGAACGTGGCGTGAATAGATAAGCGGCCATGAAAAATATTGGCGTTGTCAGACCGCACGTATGCTGCTTTATACATGAACCACTAGAGCCAGACACTATATTACCAGACACTCTACCCCAACATGTATTTGTAGAACATGTCGGGAGAGCACTTTATTAAAAAAAAATCTAAGAGGAATAGCTTTAAAAAAAACCCTGTGTATCAGGTAAAACTTTTGGAAGACCGCAATGGCATTAACAAAGTCGAAACGACTGTGTCAGCAGGCCCGTGCTAAATACAGTGGGAAATGATCATAGGTGAAATAATATAAAATCAACGTTTTCAAAGAGACATATTTTCTTTTCTTTTTTTAAATATTTATTACATGTAGTGAAATTAGTGGTATATGCAGGGGGCAATATAAATTATAGTCGGCCATCTTGATTACGTCATATATATATGTTACCCCAAAGGGATTCTGGGTAATTTTGATGGTCCACATTTGACATTTTGTAGGGAAATCAAAATTTCACAACCGACAATACATATAATAGAAATCCCCTTCCCACACTACCGTCAAAGAGGGGTGGGGGTCCAAAAGCATCATACTTAAACAGCGCCTCCAATTCTTAGATGTTTTCACCACCGGTCTTACCACCCTCATTTTAATTATGCACCGGCCAAGTATTTTTCTGAACGACTTAAAAAATTGGGGACCCTTTTCAATTAAAACAAAAGTTCCAATTCTGCTCCCGTCCCGAACGCAAAACCTGGGCCGATTTCAAGAAATGCTAAAACGCGTCTTAAATCGCAATTTGTCCAAGGAACAATTGTGCTTGTCCAAGGAACAATTGTACTAAACGTAAAATGTGTTCAATGCGTCATAACTGTTTTTTGCAACACGGCCGGACTCGTTCTGTCATAGGGTTGTCCTATATCTAGACTTGGCCCAAGTCTTCGTTTTGTTTATCGCCTTATGTCCTAAGATGAGTCGTAAGCTAGGAAGAATCACGCTCTATCTGTGCGAGTTGGCAAACAACGCTGATTGAGTGTTAAGAATAAATATTATGAATAGCACATCGACTGTGTTCAAGCACCAGGCAGATTGACCAACTCTGGGTTTCTGAACTCACATGAAACAATCATTTACGTTGCCTTAATAGAGTTGTATTATGTTGATTTACAGTGTGTCTGCACATGCGAGATGCTATTGAATAATTATAGGGGCAGGGAATATAAGGCGTGACCCCGGGTGGGCCCTACTGCTCCACTTGTGGGTGGAGCAAGGGGGCCTAGAAGCTCTGCGCGTTAAGGTTGTTAACCGTGCTGTATAGTTACTAGTGCGTTTACTGATAGACCACTTGTGACTCAGACTTGGGCCAAGTCTAACCGTTGAGTGGGTGCTGTTGCACGGAGCTCATAGTCGTCTGCCGAACTTGGTTGTATTCGGGTGTCTGCAATGAACAGCGCCACGAGTGTCAGAAAGTGTTCATGGTTAGTTTCTGTGTTAACACGTGTCCGTGACATTGTAGGGCCCATGCCATATCTTATCTATCATCCTCACAACAAACGATGCATTGTCTGATGCATTCTGGGGAAGCTCCTGTTAATGATGGCGTTCTTGGAAAATGTCTTTGGAGGCCAGACGCCCGTCTCGGCCAAACAGATTCCGGAGGCTGTGTGTCTTCTCTGCGAAAACTTCGTTTGCGATCTCTGGGGGAAAAAGGAAAGACAAATAAAAAAAACAGCAAACGTGAATCCAATATTTATTATCGCAGGAATTAAATTAGATTGGACATTCGCCGTGTTCGTCCATGCACAGATGGGATGTGAACCCCCACATAAATTGATGTTGTCGGCCGCATTGTCCTCCTGCCGGGAAAAGTAATGCGTCCGTCGGCAAATTTGCAGGGATGACCCATTGTCTGATCTAATGCCTTTGACTGTCCGCTTTGAACAGCGCACCCTATAGGATCAGGAAGACACTTTTCGATTTTAAAGAGGCCAGGGTGACTGGGTGAAAAATCCTTTGTACCTTTCAACAGGCATGTCTTGTCGGCAAATTTGTAGTCAACCCACCCCCACCCCCCAATTCGCTCTTTTCACACTTCCGCCATGGGCATGCAGAGCCTCGATCTGGCAACTTTACACAATAAATATAGCCGGTTCAGTGATTCCCGCGTCGGGGTTCAGATCACTGAACCGGCTATTTTTATTGTGTAAAGTTGCCCATATCGAGGCTGTGAATACCCAATGGCGGAGTTTGAAAAGAGCGAATTGAAAGTGGTATAGCGACGTCCTCCTGAAAGTTGCTCTATGTTGCAATGGAGTGGAGGCATCATTTTGACTATGGCGATGGGCGTCAAGATTGCTTTCAGAGGTGATAATGTTTTGAGGAATTTGATAATCAACAAAACTTTGAAAAGAAATTTGTGAAAGTGGATGAATCGAACTTGAATTTGATGAATGCCTTGATCACTTGTGAGAGTATTTTTTTTTTTTAAGAGGAAGATTTATTGTGTGTGCCTCGTGGAATTATGGTGTGCTCCTTGCCCAGGTTGGACGCCCAGACTTCATTGCATTCTCCCTCCGTACGTAGTGCGGTAGGGGAGTCCACCTGGGCTAGCTCTGTTCCCCTAGTAAGGAAAGAAAGGATATACTGCTTACGGTTAAAAATGTAAGCGCGAGTGTACACATTGATAAAGAGCGTCCCAGTATAATGTGGTGTCCAGCCCCCCCCCCCCCTTCGAATGTCCACGACCAGGCAAATTCGGGCGTTTCATGTGCCACCAAAGTTTGCCACGGAGAGTTCATTTTTTATAGTGCATTGTGAGAGATGGTCGACAAATTCGCAGCGCGGATTTGAAATTGTTCCGGTCAGTAGTTTCGTAAGCGTATGATTCGACTATACATTTGGCTTTTTCTTTTCTTTTGTATCAATATGGTGTTTTTGTAAGGCGGCAGAACGCTATACCCGACTTTATAACCACTTAGCTCAAGTTGTTTAATGACTCTCATTCAAATGGGCCTGGTTTTGTCGACCGTAATTTGAAACACTGACTCTCCATGACAAACTCTTAGTGGCGCTCTGCATTGTGAATCGCCAAAATTGTAGGATTTGGGTCATCCCCCATCCCCCCCCCCCCCCCCCCCCCCACACACACACACACACACACTCGCCAGTACAGATTTACGCCACTGGCCGTCATTGCACTCGCGTGGTCACGATTCTAATCATGCCACCGGCTGACGTTAATGTGACATTGTATTATAATGGTATCATTCCCTAGACTAAGCGTAAGTACAAGAAAAAAATGCATTTCCCCAAGCTAGCTAAAGGAGCTGAATTTGAATCAGACAAACAATATTCCCTCGTAAATATTTTGTAAACGGGTCTGTAGTTTGATATAAATATAATGAGGTGGTGGAAACTTGCTAGAATTTCACTCAATCAGCGCGATATGTCAGTGCCGGCCGAAAGACGCGCGACGCGAAACAATTGATGAGACAGAATAAGGACGAGCTTGGTATATAAAGGTTAATTGCTCGCACTGACTCTGAATAGTCAACTGCTCCGTACATAAGAATGATTGTTGAAAAGAATTACGTAACAGCATTCATGTGTATAGCGCTATGCTGGTGCGTCTTTCGTGCAGCTATGAAACACAAAGTAACTCTCCCACTGCGGAAGTAAGGATTATGTTTAAACGCAAAGAGAAAAGCACCTACTGAAACAGCCTAGTTGTTAAGCTGTCTGACAGCGGACCCAGGGTTAGGGGTTCGAATCCGCTTGGTGTCATTTTTTTGGGTTTCGATGCCCGCGGTTTTGTCATTTAAGAGTATTAATTTCCCGTCGTCATTTACCAACAGCAGTTAGCTCGGTCGGTCGGTAAGCTGACTCACAAGTTGGGACTGTCTGCGAAGTCCAGGTTGGCATCTGCGTATAGGTACGGGGTTCTTTTGCTGACTCGGCAGCAAGGCTTAGGGTGCCACCTCGTTTCCTCCCTTTATGGTGCCTGACTTTCGAGTTACATGGATGGACAGGGAAGGAGGTGTGGTGGGCCGGGTACCGAGTCCTGGAAGAGTTCTATATGGAAGTCGGTAAGGGGCTCATTGAGTTAGGGTCATAAGTCCGACTCCTGAAAACTTGGCCATCGCCACATAACTTTTTGTTTTATTTTATTTCTTTCCTATCGGAGGACAAATGCAAGAATGATTATGTTTTTATATTGAAAGCTTGTACTGGAAATCGTTTGAAATTAATTTTTAAAATTGCTCGAAAATACAAAATTCAATCCAGCTATGTTTTTTTTCTTTATTTTCTTGTCGCAATGTACATGCTCAGTACGTTTGCGCAAACCCTGTTCAGGCCTGTTCCCTAATCCCAGACTGCGGGGGGGGGGGGGGGGGGGGTCTATAAATCCTATATTGTGGAATTTTGTATATGCGAGCGCGAAGCCCTGAAGGCTTGGGTTACGGAAACGCTTAAGAGCCCCGGGTAATTTTTGGATTGCAGATGCTCTGTGCCGCAAATATCAAAATTGTAGCTTGACTCTCTATCGAAATATGCCTGCCCTCGTTATTTTGAGTCGTCACTAATAAGAATCAGCTCAATTCGTAACTGTGCGAGCGAGCACGTTCTTGTGTTTTGCACAGCTCTAGCTGTCAACCCCCATAATTATGAAGCGACTTCGCGCGGCAGCTTGTGCCGACATGACAGAATGTACAATCTGTTGCCATGGGTTTCATAACCTGATTTTAGCTACGCAGAGTTTTTGAGCAGCGGTGTTTATTATTTACATTCTCCACTTTGTTCTTATTCCCTCTTCCTTTCCCCTTCCTTCTCCATTCTTCGGAACGCTGGTGCCTAGGGCCTACGAAACACTTAATCCGGGCCTGGCTACCGTGCTGTAGACCAGGCCATATCTAATGTATTATGTGGGAGACTTCCATGCCCTTATAGAGAACGAGCAGCAGCGTGTCCAGTTTTGTTGTGGGGGGGGGGGACCGCACATCCGCGTCGAAATGTAGACATGTTGTTTTTTACTCCGGACACTTGCCCTCCGCAAGTCAGAAAGCGCGGGGGGGTACCCATCTTCCAAATGGGGGGGGGGGGCGGTCTTCAAAACTGACCATTACTATGCATACTACATATACATGGACATTATCAAGGCGCATTGTTATGGTTGTTGAGCGGGTTTTCTTAGGTGGGATTGATGTCAGAAGAACTCTATAAACAATTATTTAAATCATTGCTGACAAAAAAATGTCAACAAAATCCGCAAGCGGGGGCAAAGTGCCCCCTGCCCCCCCCCCCCCTCGCTGGATTCACCACTGGTGCGAAGACTTTTCAACTACATTGATGTGATTGGCAGAGACACCCAATGTGAAATTGAAGACCTTCCGTACATAATGAGAGATAAAGACACCTGAAGTGGCGTTGTGAACGAGATCTCGCTTACGACTGCGATGATGATGATGATGAATAATAAAACAAAGGTTCTACTGCTCACGGTGACCGAGTGCTGGTTTGCCGATGCCACGGAGGGCTTCATCCAGCTCGGTGAGCGCTAGAATCTCCTCGGCCTCGCTGTCTAACCATCGCTCCAGGTCCAGCACACATCGCCCCGTGATGTTCCGGGTGCGCTGGAGACGACTACTCGCTGGCAGTGACTGCCGACGCTCGTAAAGAACGGACAACAGATTCCGACATTCTGTCAAAGATTTGGCATTAATTACAAATTGGCTTGAAAAGCATCATTGACGGTCCGCTCACCAGCACGCACACACACGTGTCGTCACCGACACCACGAACTGACACCCGGTGGTCAGCGTTGCAGAAATACAAATCAGAGAAAAACGCTTTTAAAGGTTTGACACGAATTTACTCAGTAAAATATTCCATCTATCTTAGAGGTTTTAGTATCACTTAACGTGAAAATGCTTAAACTACTCAATTATAAACGTTATATTGTAAAAATCTGCTTAGTTAATTAGCAATTAAATGATTAAGATGGGTGTCAGTTCGTGAAAACGAAAATGTATGTGTTTTTGGAGAGTGCACGCATGCAATAGCGTTAGTGAGTGTCAGTTCGTGAAAAGAAAAATTGACGCGTTTTGGAAGAGTGCGCGCAAACACTGCGCATGCGTACGCGCACTCTCCAAAAAACGTCAAGTTTCGTTTCCACGAACTGACACCCTTTGCAACCTGGCTCAAGCTGGCCGCGAAGTCGGCCCGATTTCTAGCCTCGAACTCAGCCTCGAACTCAGCCTCAAACTCATAAAATCTAAAACACATGCACCAAAGGGATGTCGATTTGCCATTCACTTGCGCACAGTTTTAGCACGCTCCTTTAAAACAAAATTTCCCCCCAGCCAAAAACAAAGTGCCCATTTTTAGTACATTAGTAGAAATCGGGCTGACTTCGCGGCCAGCTTGAGCCAGGTCCCTTTCCCTTTGCAGGGTCACTTTGTGGTAACAAAAAATACCATGTTAAACTTTATGATACAAACTGCTAATATGTGCAAAAAAAAGAAAGTTTGAATTTAAAAAAAAAATGTGTACACATGTGATGCAGAAGGTGTCAGTTCGTGGTGTCGGTGACGGTTTGTATTTGCCTGCAATCGGGACCCCCTAGTGTTCCTCTTTTGTTTGTACTCAAACTTTAAGAAGACCTCCCATATGATTTGTACACGAATCCAAATTGAGGACCTTTTGGACCATATGTCCTCTATTGTTCAACGTCCCCTATTGAATGCAGAAATAAACTCACACACACACGCCCACACAGTTACATAGGTAGTGTGGACATTCTTTTCTTTTTGTGTAGTTAAGAAAAACCTGTGGAAAAAAATCATTTTACTCACACTGTGAAAACTCTTTCAACCCGATTTGCTTTCCTATGATTCCCTTTAGGCTAGTGTTTCACGAATAAACCTAAACCCAAAAAGTTCCTCTAAGTCTAAACCTGTTTTCCAGAGAGGGTGAAACATGATGTGGACGTAGGAAAGTCCACACAATGTCGGTGCTACCTGGTTTATGTGGACCTCCTTTATTCGGAAGTCCCATAGAGCTATAATATAGCTCTATTGGAAGTCCACACAGTGAATGTAATGCTTGTAAAAAACAACTGACCTTCATCAGACAGCTCACTCGACAAGATGTTTAACTCATTGTCATTGATTACACTGGCAGAGCAGATTGTAGACAAGATGATGACAACGCTTGCGAGATGCATTCCGAGATGGCATTCCTTCGGTCTCAGTTGACTCTTTGATCTTCGCATTAGGATGCTTTTCATTGTGTTTTTCAAGTTGAAACCAGTCCTTTCACCAGCTTCAGTGCATTTCTAAGTTTAAACTTTTTGACTCGACTGCGTGAGCGAACGTGTAACGCCCATAGACCATAGATATCAAATAAAAAGACATAGAACTGGTAACGCCCGCGCAAAGTGCATTCGATGCCAAACGCGCAGAGACGATCACGCGCGTGGCAACCGTGAGCTCCAAATTCAAGTAAGGATGTGCTCCATGTAAAATCATATAATATGAATATGGTGTATTCATGATAATGCAGTATATAATTTGAGAAATGCGGGATTTTGCCGAGCACCGCCGTTGCCTAGTGGTTATGCAGGCTAGTTAATGATCAGGGGTCTCGAGATATAATTCCGACCCTGCCCTGTCAGATTTTGCTCTTTTTTCAACATGACAGTTTTATCTTAGAAACGTTATTTTTTTCAGTCGGATACAACTTGTAAAGTAGCAATTTCCTTTTTCTTTTCTGATCAGAGGCTCTTGAGGATTTTTTTTTAAAAGGGAAATGAAGTCCGAAATCCGTACCAAGTTGAAAAACAGTAGTCTCCACTCCAGCCTGTTTATTGTAACCATGCCCCATAGGAAAGCGCATAAGGTACCCCAGATAGTTGTGTAATAAAAAATATCGCGCCCGGCGGGGGGGGGGGGGGCATGTGGGAGCGTTGCATACAGAGTTTGACTGATTTCAGTAGATCCACCATCCGATGGTATGATCGGATGGAGGCCGAAGCCACTGTTCCAAAAGAAAAGAAAGCCTTGTCCCAACTTCGAGAGGGGACCCTGAAAGAACAGTTTTTGCGGGGGGGGGGGGGGGGGGGGGCTACTGATGTAGCAGTGCGCAGAGAATTACGTAGGTTAGTGGTCGATCACATGTGGTGCAAAAGTTAGCAATTCCGACTTGATCAATCTGCCATCAGCACCCCCCTCGCGTGCACGCGCCTGTTTTCATCACTGCATATGCAACACCATCTCTATGCATATACAGCAACATCGCTTGACTAGTCTTGACTCAAGTTGGAATTGCCTTAAGTCGGTATCTTGGGTTGCTGAATCACTTGAAAATAACATGTACATGTACGTTTTTAACATGATGGTCCGGATTCGACGCATGATGGCGCGCGTTATGTACTGTAAGGACGTATGCGATATGCCCTGTGAGTGGATTGAGGCACAGACCGAGCGCAACCCAGACTTGGCCAAGTCTATGCGGGGGGGGGGGGGGGCTACTGATGCGGCAGTGCGCAGAGAATTGCGTAGGTTAGTGGTCTATCACCCCAAATCATCCTTCTATGAGATGAGAAACCTTGCCCTCAAGCTGTTCCAAGATGTGAATAAGTCCTTTGTAAATAGAGTTGGGAATGAGCAGGTTTGGTCTGTAGAGCCTGATGAATATCAACTTAACAAGGTGGTAGCCAAGGATTCTAGGGGGGGATGTCCAGATCAGACAAGTGGTGTACTTTCTGCAATCGCGCAAGTCATGCATTTTATTTTTAACCAGAAATGAACACAACAAATGGTTTCTTACAAAAGGTTCAAACAGCCCCACTTCATCAACCAAATACTTAATAAATTAGCAAGATAAGATAAGTGGATACAAAATATTTATTACAACTTTATTTCGTACCTCAAACATATGTCCGTCAACTGATTGAAAGATACTTAAACATTTTGTCACAATAACTCCCACTGACTCTCGGGAGATAAACAAATGTAATCAAATGAAATTCTGTAAATTAACAAAGTAGTTAACGATTTTCAGTATTAAACTGTATTGATCCTTTATACACTTCGTCATTCGTGTCTGATATAAGGGGAAAAAGAACAATTATTTCCCACTGGAAAAGGTACAACAATTAATCAGAACTGTCAAAAGTACACTTCCAATGTTTTTGTCTTGTCAATACATGTGTTACTTAAACTCGATATACCCAGTATTTTGTGCTTAAAACAGTCAAAAACACTGCACATCACACCATCTAACTTTGCTAAGCGAGTTTGCGTGATCTGCAGTTTTTTTCAGTCATTACTCAGCGTTGACGTGGTTTGTGCCTCATATTTAGTTATCATCATCATCATTCGTTCCCTTAATAACTTTGAATATGAATGAAGTTTAGCGATTGATATAAAAATATTACAGCAAGACTGTGATGTATTCAGATATTATATGTGTTTTAATCAGCTTCCAAGAAAGAATAACTTTGAACCCTGACATAGCTCCCTTGAAATCTTTGTAGAAACTTTTTATCTTATAATAATTTAGATAATCAATGTGAACTTCTCTTTATTATCGATTTCTAACAAAACCTGGTGTTAACCCAACAAAATCTGGCATGTTCTGAAGTGAAAATGAGACATCGCAGTGACATAAGATGCACTTACACAGCACAATTTGTTACATTCACAGTAAGTGTGGAACTTTAACAGTAAATGTTTCAGAAAACAATTTGGAATCATCAATATTAAATATCTGATATAAGTATTATATTATATAACTTATGAAGTGAAGCCACAGGTAAACATGACATGTGCAGTTATCGCACCAAAAGGACTGGCTTCAAGTTTGGTGTACTGTCCAAAGGAGTTTAATACATTTAATACCGACCGTATTAATCAGGTGGCCTCTGTCCAATAAACAAATACACACATTGAATTGTATGTAAACTTTTCAATCCAAGAGACTTTTCTTAGTTTTGTTAGAATCAGTTGCATACAAAAATTAATGTTTGTGATAAACTCGTGTGGCACAATATAAAAGGTAAAAATATGTACACTTCAAACTTGCAGTTCAATTTCTCATAAAAAGTTGGGTGACACGAAGATATGTACAAGTTATCCGCCATAGCCTCGCCCGTTAATGCTGAGAACCTCTGTATGCTCAGCTGTTTGCCATTATCGCACAGCTGAACACGACAGTCGTGAGCGAAATAATCGTGAACGCCAAAGTCATTAACTTTCATCAAACGGTTGAATATCCTCTGCAAACTAGCCGGCCACGTTTCTGAGCTACGACAAAAGTGACATGTTATTGAAAGGCTAAGATCGACCAAGTTTAGCATCTCCTCAACAGATGATGCAATGTGTGATAGATCTGGTCCATTTATGTCGCATTCCCATAAATTGAGTGATTTCAGGTAAATCGTCTTCTGCAAACAAGCCGCCCACGTTCCTGTGTGACAACCCAGTCCATCAATGAATGAAAGGCTAAGATTGGCAAAGTTGGGCATCTCCCCAACTGATGACGCAATGGGTGATAGATCTTGTCCATTTATGTTGCATTCCAATAAATCGAGTGATTTCAGGTGAATCATCTTCTGCAAACAAGCCGCACACGTTCCTGTGTGACCACCCAATTCCTTATTGTATGAAAGGCCAAGATCGGCCAAGTTGGGCATCTCCCCAACTGACGATGCTATGTGTGATAGATCTTGTCCATTAATGTCGCATGCCCATAAATCGAGTGATTTCAGGTAAATCATTTTCTGCAAACTAGCCGCCCACGTTCTTGCGTGACCACCCAATCCCTTATTGAATGAAAGGCTAAGCTCGACCAAGATGGGCATCTCCCCAACTGATGATGCAATATGTGATATATTTTTTCCATTGATGCCACATTCCGATAAATCGAGTGATTTAAGGTGCATCATCCTCTGAAACGTGTGGTCTAGCGGTGCAGCACATGATTCGTGATCGAGAGGTTGTGGGTTCGAACCCCGCCGTGGCCATGCGTGTTGTGTCCTTGAGTAAGGCACTTCACCTCAACTACTCCTCTAAACCCAGGTGTTATATGGGTACCGGCATTGTTCAATGCTGGGAAGGTAACAGACTCGCCGTGGAGGAGGTGTGGCGATCCCACAGCAGCATATGAGTCTGGCCCAATCGCTATGAAAGAGAGATGGGCACTCCGTTCCTGTGAATACAGGTTTGTCCCCTTTACCTTTACTTTTTTACCTTTATCCTCTGAAAACTACCCGGCCACGTTCCGGAGTTACCACCCAATCCCTCATTGCCTGAAAGGTCAAGATCGGTCAAGTTTGGCATCTCCCCAACCGATGATGCAATATGTGGTATGTCTTGTTCATTTATACCACATTCCGATAAATTTAGTGATTTAAGGTGCACCATCATCTTCAAACTAGCTGCCCATGTACCAGCTTTACCACCCAATCCCCTATTGTAAAAAAGATTAAGATCGGCCAAGTTTGGTATCTCCCCAACCGATGAAGCAATATGTGGTATATCTTGTTCCTTTATGTCACATTTTGATAAATTTAGTGATTTAAGGTGCATCATCCTCTGCAAACTAGCCTTCCACGTTCCTACGTTACCCATTCCCGAATTGTTTGAAAGGTTGAAATCGGTCAAGTTTGGAACTTGACCTAATGCTGCAGCAATGTGTTCAATGTCAGCGCTTTGCAGTGAGCAATCACTTAACTTCAACTTCTGAAGTTCCGTCAGGTTTTGCAAGAGTGGAGACCAGATACTTGCTGAACCACGCAGACGGTAAATGCCATCAAGGGTCAATTTGACTAACGTTCTGTGATTGCTGAATGGCTGCAGTATATCCATGAAATCCTTGACAGTGAGTGAGAACCAATTAATGCTCAACGCTATGCCATTACTCCATGAATGTACACGCAAATAGTCATGGGACGTAAAACTACCCAAATCAAAATCCACCAGATTCCACATGCGACTTACTGATTCAGCGATATATTTAAAATCGCTACTTTTAATGCTACAATGTCTCAAGTCAAGCTTCTTTAAGTGCATCATCCTCTGCAAATTAGCCGCCCACGTTCCGGCGTTATCACCCAATCCCTTATTTTTTGATAGGTTTAGTTTAGCCACGTTTGGCATCTTCTCAATTGATGATGTAATATGTTGCATATCTTGTTCATTTATGCCACATTCTGATAAATCGAGTGATTTAAGGTGCATCATCCTCTGCAAACTAGCCACCCACGTTCCTACGTTACCACCCAAGTTACCATTCTTTGAAAGGATGAGATCGGCAAAGTTTGGTACTTGACCTAATGCTGCAGCAATGTGTTCCATGTCAGCGATTTGCAGTGAGCAATCCCTTAATTCTAACTCCTGAAGTTCCGTCAGGTTTTGCAAGAGTGGGGTCCAGATACTTGCTGAACCACTCAGACCGTAAATGCCATCAAGGGACAATCTGAATAACTTTCTGCGAATAGCGAATGACTGCAGTACATCCGCCAAATCCTTGACAGTGAGTGAGAACCTCCTGATGCTCAACTCTATGCCATTACCCAATGACTCTGCACTCCACACCTTAGGGTAACTACTGAAATCACAATCCACCAGATTCTGCATGCGACTTACTGATTCAGCTATATATTTCAAATCGCGACTGTTAATGCTACAATTTCTCATGTAAAGCTTCTTTAAGTGAATCATCGACTGCAAACTAGCCGCCCACGTTCTGACGTTACCACACAATCCCTTATTGCCTGAAAGATCAAGATCGGCAAAATTTGGCAAATTCCCAAGCGATGATGAAATGTCTACTGCATCACGCGAGTCTAAGCAACATTCATTCAAACGAAGTTTTGCGAGGTTTTTCATCCCTCGCAAGTGGACCGCCCAGTCTTTGGCTGAGCCGCCCAAATTGTTTCCTCCAAGCCTTATTTCAATCAAGTTACCTCCATTACGATATGATGACAAAAGTTTATTAGCATTGCTACCAGTTAGTGTGCATTCTTCGAAATGCAACGCGCGCAAGTTTTTCATTGCGGTCAAATGCGAAGCTACGACTTCACTCAACATTGACAGGTTACACCACCTTAAGCGAATTGCCCTTACTTTGGCGAGGTAATCCACTGCCGAGGGCTTTGTCTGCTCGGCAACATGCTGCAGCAACCACACGAGCGAGTTTACGAGGTCATTTCCACTTAACTCTATGTCTCCAGTAAAAAAAAAGTCAATGAAATCTACTGATAACAAATCTCTTGCTTGACTTTCAAGGTAGCAATTTAAGGCCAATGCCTTCACTGGCTTGGGTTTAGTATCCATATCATGCAGATTCTTCTGGAGCAGCATCCGCAATACATGCCGTGTGCATTGTTCATTGTTGCTGCAGCTGAAGCGCAACAAGTACTCAAAATTCATAGGATCTCCAAGTTTATCAAGAATCTTCTGAAATTCCCCGTCGCCTTTGCTTAAAAGACTCTGAAAGTACATAGCTGCACAATACTCTTGAAGTGTCTTATGAATAAAGTGCGCGTTATTGTGCGTGTCAAGCCAATTCATGACCCGCTGGCTAGTGAGAATACCCGCTTGTTTTGCTTCATCAAGTGCACTCTTCTCAAACTCTCCCTCTTGAAATGATAGTCTTTGTTCTGCGGAAACAAGCCCTTTTAATGCAGTTTTGCCGATTGCAATTAGTACTTTCGATATTGCTTCTTCTGATATTTCAGGCATTTTTCTTCGAAATATGAATCTAATTGCCTGACTGAACAATCTTGATAAAGTTTCGGGTAGCTTTGACTTTTCCCTCCATAATAAGCACATCAGCAGAAGAAATATGGGACTTTTTGACAAATCAGACAGCACATCTGATGACTGAATCCTATCAAGAAGTCCCTTAGCCATATAAAGCTTTTCAGAGAAAAACCTTCTCACATACTGCCCAATATCTTCCTTCCTCAATCCCAAAACATTCACATGGGTGAAAGGTTTCTTAATGAGTGATTTGCTTGCCAATTTAGCAAAGTGTGAAGGCCGTGTTGTTACAACTACAAAACATTCATTGCCAAATTTTCGATTGAGCATTCTTAGGATGGACCCAAATTTCTCTGGTTCCAGGTTAGTTGTCCCGAATTCATCAAAACCATCTATCAGAATGAGCACTCTACTACCATCGTCTCTGATGAATGCTTCCAAACCACGCTTGTTAACCTTTGTGTCATCTGATAAAAGTTGGTCAAACACTGACTCAACAAGATCCGACGTTTGTTTGAGAGCGGACATTTTCAAGACAAACAAAAGTGAAAACTGTCCAAGTGAAACACCTGTAGCCCAGTCGTATGCAATTTTGTCAATAATGGTTGACTTTCCCATCCCAGCTGACCCACACAAAATGGCGCGTTTAACCAATTTCCCGTATTTTGTTTTTATGAGGAAAATGTCCCCATACTCCCCAACATCGCCCTGTATGTCATCCTGATCACCCTTTTCTAATTGCAACTCTGTATATATATCCATAATATGTTTCATGTCGTCATCGACCCAGGGTATTAACTGGACGTAGCTACCTGTGGTAGTATACTGGTCTTTTAATTCACTCCTGCACTGATCAGCAGCTTCACTCGGACTGGGTTGCGCACTTCCCGTGTCGGCTGTTGAAAGAAAAGAGGCAACATTACTGGTGTATCTTGCAGCGGCACCGGCGTAAACAAAATTCAATGATTCACCTGAATTCTGCGTCCCCACCCCTCCCCCATTAAAAAAAAATGTCCTATGAGGCAGCTTTATAAAATCGCACTTCATGTTTTTGATTTTCCTATGACCCGTTTTTAGCCGTTTTTCAACCATATTATCGGTTAGTTGCACAATTGGCGTCTCCGTCACTTTTTGTAGCCGAATATTTAAAGATATCATATTTTCTACTTCAACCCCAATAAAATAGATTTTCAAATTTCCATTTTTCTTGCAATACGAAGAGCACGGTCATCGAAAAATCATTTAACAATTTGAAAAGTCTTTGTAGCCCAACAATACACATGTTATTGAGATTTACTTAGTGGGAGATTGGAAATAGTTCCCGCCACCATGATTTAAGTGTCGATAATGCAGGGACCGGGAACAGCTCTACTTCCAGGCTCAGACTCAGATTTGTTCGCACGCAAAAGAAACCCAGAAAAACTTCTGTTTTTAAGAAGGATTGCAGCTGCCCAAATAGACATTAAGTTGTTGTTGTAGTGGAATGGCGTAGCATTCTGGAGTAAGGTGGTTATTACGGTGGTATCTCCCACTTTATAGCTTTTCAAGAATTTGTTTTTCACTTCTTTTTTTTAATTAACGTTCCATGAACGCAGCAGTTGTGCAGCCAAGAAGATCACCGCCTATATACAATTGCCCGAAAGCTCCCATGATCATCCGCTTTGAGCAGAGCCCCAATAGGAAGATGTTGTCTAGTCCCACTTCCCCTCTTTCTATTTTACGAAGGCTGGATGAGCAAGGAAAAGAACAATGTGCCCTGTTTGTACGTCTTCAATGCCACCTCCCCCAATCAAATGTTTTTTTTATATTTTTTTTTTTTATCTATCTACAGCATTTAAGTTGAGTATTCGGTAGGAGAAAGAGAGAACATTTGTTGGGCACGGACAGTGTATCTTGAAAACAATTTTCGACTTTATGATAGAGAGGGGAAAACAGTGAAAATAGCAAAAGAGAGAAAGATACGACGTATTGGACTCTGCGTTTTATTATTTACCTGGACTGCTTTCCGTCGTCACGTTTTGATTGATGACCACAGTTGGTTGATACACAGGACCCATGAAGGTCGGATTATTTGTACCGCCAATGTGCATGGATTCCACTGACACCTGTTGCACAGGTCCACATCCGAGGACAGCAGGTGATGGGGATGAGCCTTGTAGGTGGAGTTCTACAGGTGCAATGTCTTGAACTGAGCTTGGACCCTGCATTATCAGTTGGTCTTGTGATGTCCTTTCTCCGACTACTGTCTCTTGTATCTCCGACGGTTTTCTTAGTGTAAAGTCCACGTGCCCATGACCTTGTTTCTGGTGCGTTGAACTTTTTATTCCATGATCCTGGGATGATTGCATCCTCTCTTTCTGAAAAATCGATTCTGTGCCGCACGCCTCTTGCTGTTTTTGTCTCTGTTCCTCGGATGAGGTAGACCCCTTCTGCTGGCATTGTTCTTTAGCGCCTCCCACTTGAACCCCTGTTTGAGGTTTGTCTCCGTCACTAATTTCCTTCAGTCTCGGTCTTTGGTCCTCGGACGATGCAGTCCCTTTCTGCTTGATATGTTCCTTAGCCACACCCACTAAAACATCTTTTTGAAATGTGTCTCGGTGACCAACGTCCTCCTGCCTCGGACTATGTCCTTCAGATGATGAAGTCCCTTCCTTCTTTTTCCGCTCTTCGTGAAACCCTGCCCTTTGGTTGTCTGCCTGCCTACTGTGTTCATCCCCTGCCTGTTCTTGTCCTGAATTTTGTTCTCTAAACTTCTTTTTCCGTTTTGGTAACAATGCATAAAAAGACCTTTTGAAACGATTTTTAAATGAGGTTGATTGAGATGCAACTTGATTCACCTCTTCGGGAACTTCCTCCTGACCTAGTCTCTGTTCCTCAGCACATGGTGTCATCTGCTTCTGTCTGCCCCGTTTTTCAAGAATTTCTTGTTCACGTCTTTGACGTTGGTCTTGTTTCTCGTGTCCCGATGTGAGTCCCTCAGATGATACAGTCCTTTTTTGCTTGCTCTGCTCTTCAGCGTCTTCCGCTTGTACCTCTGGTTGAGGTGTGTCTTGATGAGTAACGTCTTCCCGTCTTGGTCTCTGTCCCTCAGATGTTGCAGTCTTTTTATGCTTGCTTTGTTCTATAGTCTCTCCCACTTCAACGTCTGGCTGAGGTTCGTCTCCATAACCATCTTCCCCCTGTCCCGGTCTTTGTCTCTCAGATGAAGGAGTTCCTTTCTGCTTGTTCCGCTCGTTATCCCCTCCAACTTGTACCGATGACTTGGGTTGAACCATTTCCTCCTGTCTCAACAGTCCCTCCGGTGATGTGCTCTCCTCTTTACTGCGATGTACTTTAGCCCCTCCCACTTGAACCTCTGGTTTACGTTTGTGACTTTGTCCACGTACCTCCTGGCTCGTCCTCTGTTGCTCATCTGATGGAATCATTAAGGCCAGATCAGCATGCCCGATTGAATTTAACGCATCTCGCAAATTCTGAAATCCTTCCTCGCGATTTGTTTGCTTTCTCCACCAAGAAAGCAGCATCTGTAGGCTCCTTTCTTTGTTGTCGTGAAAGGTGGTTTGGATTTCCTTGATTTTCGTTTCTGAGAATCCCATAGATTCTGCCATTTTTTTCCAGGATGATTCAGTTTTGGGAGCCAAGTCCCGAAAGATCTGTTCATCAAGCGGGTGTTTATCTGCAACACAAAATGAAGCCTGTTTGTGAGTAGAGTGTGTTAGGCTGCTTTTTGAGATTAAATATTAATTCATAGATACAAAGGACGTAAAGGAACTTCAGACACTACTAAATAATTAATATCATAATGAACACTTACTTAATGAATTGATTTCGCGCTGAGGCTTATATTTCTGTCAGTCTTTATTGAACTATTTAATTTAGCGGGGAGGTGAAGAAATGATGGATTTTCTTAACTACAAATTCATTCCGGTGAAATTATAGCAGAGGACGCAGTCCGGCACATTCACCTGTATTGCACTCTCACAAACTAAACGACTCTCGATCGAGTGCACATATTTACAAGGAGAGTTTCCAAAAAGTGTTTAGAGCATTCATTTCCGTGACACAAATTATAGAGCAAGGCACGAATTTAGTAATGCCCAGCTAAGTTCTGGATTCTCTGATTATGCAGAAGCTATCTTTATTCAAAGTCACCTTCCACATTAACCCATCTTGTAAGGGAATGATTCCTATAATCATTTACTTTTTGGTCCACCGCCCAGTAGGCCATCAGTACACAGACGGACAGAAATGTTCTCGTCCTGATGAATTCCACAGTCGTGAAGTGTCAGCAAATTACAGAGCTGAAAAAAGTAAGATCATGAAATAATGCACATTGTTTGGAAAGAAGGTTTTGAAAATTACAGTTTAATAATTAATTTTACAAAACACGAGTCAAACCACTGAGGATAGATTTAATTTTTTCGTTGCGGTTTTTTTTATCGTAAGTCTAAATCGGTGGGGTTAAAATAATCAAGTAATCGCTGCGCGTTTCTTGAACTGAAGGGCGAAAACACCATTGTTCTGACATCAGAAGCATGATTATACACTCATTTCATTTTGAAACACCAGAGATTGCCACTAAAACCCACAATACATGGCCTTCAATGCGATGGAAAATTTATATGTACACGAAGTCTACAACATGTTTCACTTTGTAAAAATATGGAGCCCTCATTACCTCGAAGTTACGAAAGTTTCTTCTGATGTAAAGTCGCTGTTTTTGAGGATGCACACCAATTTTATCACTTATTATCACTTTTAAGATCAAGACAGATGTCTCTGGATCCACTTGCATACAAAGTATCGTGGGTTTCTGTAAGATGTGACTTCGTATGAAGACTTGCACATATCTGCGGCTGCAGAAAATAAAGGTTCTTCATGGTCAGGCTGTTTAATTGTTTGAATTGACAAAGGAAGAAAGGTAAATTCTATCAACAATTACTGTAACCATTCTCTGCACTTTTATGTTGGTGAGGAAATTTTGTTGTACAAATTAATACAAAATTAAAAAAACACGAAATTTATTGCCTGGCTAATTCTTTAAACACAAGGTGCAGTACAAAAAGCAGCGTTTAATCATGTTTTACCTGATAAGCCTAGGTTTGTCTTGATCACACACTTGCTCCTTTTTCAGTTTCTCTTCCTCGGTTGATGTCGCTCCATTTTGTTTGCTTTCCTCGTCAACTCCTGCATCTTGACGCCTTTCTGGCTCTGGTCCAGCTGCTTTGTCTCTCAATTCGCTCGCTACTGATGTTAAAAGGAAAACATAGTGCATAGAATTGTTTACAGATGGCTTTTCAATGATTTTTAATAAAATTTTAAAGTTGTAAAAAAAATAACAAGGTTTTTTTGTAATAGCTTCATTGCTGTACAAAAAAGAGCGTGGGGAACCTCATTAATTCTTTTCTGTGTCCTGAAATATACAGCGTAAAGGGTTTACTTTAAGCTCACCCGGTACATTTTGGGCAAAATCAGTCAGCCCGATGGCCTCCAATGCTCGTCTCAGCTTCTGAGCTGCTTCGTCGCGATCTGTCGTCTTTTCCCACCAAGTGAGTAGCATGTGATGGCTCATTTTAGTGCTGCCTTCGTTTGTGGTTTGGATGTCTGCAATTTCCGCTTTTTCAAATCCTAGGTGTTTGGCCATCTCCTTCCATGATGACTCAATTTTCGGGGACAAGCCATTGAGGTACTCATTGTCAATGGCGGCTTTGTCTGCCAAAAGAATTTTCAAGAGTGCCTTCGGTGAAGCATTATTGCGTTCACATGGTATCATAGCAGTTAACTTATAATATTAACTACAGCTGCAACAAAAAGAGTCTCTTGTTCTTTATAACCAGCTCAACTAAATGTGGTAGATTATTCACTTGAACATCATTATTTTCCGAATTTGGTCATTAACCTTTCGGTACTTGGTCGTTATTCACATTTTCTTCTTTGGTTGATGCCGCCCCGTTTTGTTTGCTCTCCTCGTCAACTCCTGCATCTTGACACCTTTCTGGCTCGGGTCCAGCTGCCTCGTCTCTCGATGTGCTTGTTACTGATGTAAGAAGGAAAACAGAGTGCATCATAATTGAATTGATTACCAATGGTTTTTTAACTATCTTTTCTGTTTTGTTTTACTATCAACGAGGCCGTTTATTTGTTTAATGAGCTCTGTATGAGTACCTACCCATGTTTTTTTGTTTTTAAAATATATCTTCTAAATTTAAGTTCAGTCAGAAATCACTTTGGAATAATAAAAACGGTTTGTTCACATTAATTTAGCTCACCCGGTACATTTTGGGCCAAATCAGTCAACCCGATGGCCTCCAATGCTCGTCTCAGCTTCTGAGCTGCTTCGTTGCGATCTGTCGTCTTTTCCCACCAAGTGAGTAGCATGTGACGGCTCTCTTCAGTGCTGCCTTCGTTGGTGGTTTGGATGCCTGCAATTTCCGCTTCTTCAAATCCAAGGTGTTTGGCAAGTTCCTTCCATGACGAATCAATTTTCGATGACAAGTCCTTGAGGTACTCATCATCAATGTTAGCTTTATCTGCCAAAAACATTAACTTTAACTTCTGTGGAACATTTTTACTTATAACTTACAACTGATTAACTTATTAACAACAGCAACAACAAAAGGCGACTCTTTTTCCTTATTAATCATTAACATTCTGATTTTTCATTTCCTTGAACATGTATTCCTCAACCTCTATCATTTACCTTTTGGGTCTTCTATTGACAGCTGGAGAGAGATGATTTCGTTCTTGTCGACACCATTCTCCTCAAGTGTGAGCAAGTCACAGAGCTAACAAAATGGATAATGTAAGACAGTAAATTACTTAATCAGGAGAAACAGGGAGGATAAGATGTTATCATTCAAACTTTCAGCAAATTACGTTCGTTGAAGCCTATCATAGTGTGGAGGGAGGGGTTGTGATTTTTTTAGAATAGTGTTTAAAACATGAAAATGATATGAGATCTTGCATATTACATTACCCTTTCTAAAATACCGCAATGCGAAAATCTAGGTGTTGATATTTCAAATTGAACAACTTATCCATACCGGTATTATTAATGATAGTTTACCTACCTGGAAGATATCCTTGATGTATAAACGCTGATGTCGTGCCTCCACACCGATCCTCTTCTGGATTGTTTCTTTGAGAGATGAGACGAATGTCTCAGGATGGAGTTCGAAATACAGTGTCTTGGACTGATGTGAGGAGGGAGTCCGGACAAAGACCTGCAGTTTCTGTTTTACATGTTTGGTATTACTGTGAAAATAGAGAGAAAATATGTTTAGTTTTAGAAATGCATTATTCTAGTCTTAGAAATGCATTTTCTAAAGTAGAACGGGATCTGTGAACAATTCATTATGAAACTATAGTCAAAGTCACATCCACTGTCGTGAGTCTATGAACAGTATTGCACAAGTTCACTCCAGTAGCTGGAAAGCGTTAATGATTCAACAAATCCTTCAATATTAAGTTAGAATTACGACCTTCATTTGAAATGAATCACTGTCATTGCGGTTTACCTCTGACTTTTATGTGTCTGCTTTGATTGTCTTCGGATCCATCGTGTCGATGGTCTCCTTTTTCCAAGAAAAACTCGACTGGCGTTTACCACAGTAATCGTCGATAGTTCAGTAGTTTCTAGAAATGGTTTGGCGTGGCGAGCAAAGGAACATATCTCCTTTTTTTTTGCTCAGGTTTGTACGTTAAACCGACCACAGCAACTGCGACGTCACATTAAATCACATTTGTGTGGCTGGAGTTTTCTTTCATATGTTTTAAGAAAAAAAAAACTCTTCCTTCAAAGGTTTACTTTTTGGTTTTTGCGTAATGAGAAGGCGGGTTGTCTGTACAGAATCGCAGAGAAAAACGCCCTCTTCCTGAATCCAAATCCTGAATGGTCTTTCGCAGCATTTTGGTATTTGCCGAGGTGAAGGAAGGTGTGAAGTTCACTCGCTGAGAGGAAAATTATCTAGAAGTTGTCTATGTGCTGGCGTTCAATGGCCTACTGCGATGGATTGTATGTAAATCAGCTATACGCCCCTCCAAGTAAACACAATGGATAATATGAACTGTAACTCGAGATACGCATTAACTATTTTCGTTTTGATAATGAACTCTTGCAAGGTAACACAGACTACGTCTGACCTGATTTTGCTTCAATTGGTTTGTACATGGCGAGGCGGGACACCAGATCATGGGTTTATCTTTGGTGGTTTACCAAATCACGGATTCATCCCCGGGTACGGCTTCGTCTCTGACTTCAGAATAATTCTTGATGTTTCTAATTTCACAACCAAATGGATATTCTTCAAACGTTGGCTTCGCGTGTAAAACAAGTAGTAAATAGCAAACAGGTTCAGAGTGAATAAATATATCTTACGTGCTTAAAGAGTGTATGTTTTCTTTTATTTTTTTATTTACTATGTAT